TTCAGGGGGGGAACGACATGGTCCCAGACATATGAATGTTCAGCCAATCCTTCAAGGGGAATAGGATATAAAGAGTTCACAGGACACAGGCATAGTAATAATCAAACAGAGGGGCTGCTTGAGCGCTAGCGCTTAGCGGCCTGCGGTCAGCAAGGACTGGCCACTAGGCTTAGCACAGGTGCCCGGGGAACGCCGTCTCCCCGTGGCCCTGAGCATCGACGTGCCCCGGTCGCGTTGACCGGAGTGGCAAGGCCACGTGGGCCACGTTGGGTGCAGTGACGCCAAGCGCTCTCATCACAGCCGCAAGGAAGAAGCTCTCCACGCGATTGACAGGATGGACCTCGCGACGACGAAATAGGGGTGGAGTGGATGGGTCGAGTCGGGAGGTGCGAAGCCACGTGACGAGGGAGGGGCGAGTCCGGGTGGCGAGCCTAGCGGTAATGAGATAGGGGTGGTACAGACGGATCGTGTCAAGAGGTGCGAAGCCACGTGGAGAGGGGGGTGCGAGGCCGGGTGGCGAGGGCACAGGGAGGTGACCGCCACGACTCTTGTGCTTGAAGTAGACGGATCCTCGCGCCGAAAGGGGACGGAGCAACTTAACCAAAGTAGGCCGCCATTACGAGAGACTTGGAGGAGCTCAAGGAACTTGGCGTGCATCGGCGTAGGTGGAGCCGTGGAAGGAAAAAGACGGGAGAATAGACTGCCGAGATGGCAGACGTAAGACTGCTGTCTTGGCCTTAAATGGCGGGCTCATGGGAACTTGGCGAGCATCGGTGTAGGAGGAGCCGTGAAAGGAAAACGACGGGAGAGAAGATTGTCGAGATGGCGGAGGTAAGACTGCTGTCCTGACCTCAAATGACGGTCTCGGGTCTGCTACGGGGAGACGACCTCGAGGCGTGGAAGTAAGGCGGATCACGCATCGACACTGAAGACCTATAGCGTACCGAACCCGGACTAGCTGACCAAGCACGACGGGGGAGAAAGCACCTGGAGCAGTGAAGTACTAGGAGGGGTGAATCGACCCGTATGGGGAAGGCAATAAACTGACTGTCGGTTTGCGCGCCCGATGCCCTCCTGCTTATCCCCGTGTCCCGTCCCCTCTCCCCTCTTCACGTATCCTGGCCTCCCCACACCTACACTGCCCGCCTGCCCGAACGACTTCTCCTCTCTCCCCCCCATACCCCCCCTCCCCTCTCCACGGCCCCCCCACACCCACACTACCCTCGTGTCCCTCTCCTCGTGTCCCGGCTCCCCACACCCACACTGCCCACGTGTCCCGATTGCATCCCCTTC